TTTCAAGCCACCAGTACATTCCAACATGCCTCTAAGACAGTTTAATGGTAATTGGTTACGTAGTGATGAAGAAAAGGCAAATTGCTTTGCAAATTACCTAGAAAAGGTATTTCAACCCAATTATCCAAAGAACAATTTTAAGTTGCCAACCTTGCCCAATACCGCTAACGAGTCACTTGTGTCTATAGGGACTTCTACTTCTGATATTACTAGAATCATAAAGGAGCTAAATCCGAAAAAGGTATCAGGACACAATAATATTACTCCAAAAATGATAATTGAGTTACCAAATATTGCTCTAAAAGGAGCTATCCTTGCTCTTTAATGCAATTCGTGGTTTCAGATACTATCCAGTTTCGTACCTGGTAAAGACCTAAAAGGCCATTAAATTTCCTGATCACTCCTTTCCTCCACGAAAATAATACAATACTAACGCACCAACTCGGTTTTCGTGCTAAACATGGCACTGCAGAGCAAGTAAATAAAATTACAAACGAAATCAGGAAAGGATCCGAGCACAGAGTACTGTTCAGCTATTTTTCTAGATGTTCGAAAGGTCTGTCATAAAGGTATTTTATGGAAACTTAAAAGGGTCTTACCATACGAATTACATAAAACTTTAAAAACAAGATATTTACTATTAAAGTCGCAGACTTCGTATCAGAAGAAAGAGTAATAAGGGCTGGTGTTCCCTCAGGGTAGCATATTGGGCCCGACTATGTGCATAATATATACAGCAAAGACTCCAACAGCTATTAACGTATTGACATCCATTTTCTCGGATGACTCAGTTCTAGTAACCCGTAATAAATTCCCCATCAGAGCATCAAGAGTTTTAGAGCAGCACTTAACTTTTGTCGAAGAATGGCTAGCCAACTGGCGTATAAATATTAATGACCATAAATGCATACATATTATATTACATTCTCGCTAAGACCAGAAACGTGTCGGACAGTTAAAATGTTTTAGTTCCCACAGCGAATGAAGTAACTTTTCTTGGGATTCACCTGGATCGAAGGCTTTTACGTGGCGAAAACATATAACGAGTAAAATAACTTGCATGAAGTTAAGAGCGGCAAATTTAAATTGGCTTTTAAACAAAAATTCTTAACTTAGGCTAGACAACAAAGTCCTCTTATACAATGCAATCATAAAACCGATTTAGATGTATGCCATTCCACTGTTGGGTACGGTTCTAAACTTCGCGAACATCCAAACTCATTGGCGAATGCCTTGGTGAATTTATGCAATTAAACACGATTAAAAAGAAGTGATCTACCAGCCGTCAACGTTCTACCAAAAAAGCTCAACCACATTCTTCAGCTTTTTTAGTTTTAAATAGATTTCAGATTTGCATACTTAAATAAAGAAAAATTAAAAAAAAAATTTTGGTTACTTTCCAAACCCAGCAAAATTAACTGATTAAAATTAAATTGGAATGGGAAAAAGAGAAATTGCGCTTTGTTGGATTCCTCACTGTATTGATCTCCATCTACTCTTAACATTTGGCGGAATCGGTCTTCGTCTAGTGTTGTCAAAATATTATTGCGCCAAACGTCTGGCTTGGGTATTGTGCAGTAAAATTCTTGACGACATTCCATAACAACAGATAAATTCCATCTAAAACTGCATCTACTTTCAATTTCTAGAAGTAAATTGTTATATTTTGAAATTCCTCATAAAAATATTTCTTAACTTCAACGTCTATAATTTCTTCAGCAATTACATTTCTCTAAAAATTTTTCGGCATATTTAGATTGGAAATGTTAAAATTTCAATTTCTTCTTTACCAGTCAGTTTTGAATTAATGGTTTGAAACAAGTTTTGCAAAGAAAGTCCAAAAAGACGTTCACTTAAGCTGGTAAATATTATATTTGCAATTGCAAGTATATTCTCGTAACGTTTTGATTGGAATCATTAGGGGGATTACTCAAAATGAAAAAATCCTATACCGAAATATGCAAGGCAAATAGAGCACCCCTTGAAAAATCTAGTGTTATATGAACAGCTGGTTTGGTCAATTTATTGTGAATGACTATTGTGAATTGGCGCACATTCTGTATTCATTCTTAACAAAAAACTTTAACAAATCTTTATAATTTAAGTAGAAACCCTATTGTATTTTATGAACACTATGAAGGATTTTATGGTCCAAGCATAGGTTTAAACTTTTACCCAATAATCAATTTAAGCTGGCGCTTCTAAGTTTGAGTCATTCATTTATTTAAGCAGTTACTACGGTGTTTAATTTCAGTGATGAGCATGGTTCCTTTTTTAGAATAAATTTGGCGTACTTTTGCTCATTCACTTTAATGCACCAGTTAGGACTGTAGCTATTCCGCATGTTCTGGTTGGTTTGTTATGAAGGTAAAAGTAAGCCACAATATCTGGCGATGAATGCAATTTTCTATTGCTATTTTTATTCCATCTTGTTCACTAACAACAACCAGTATAATCCATATTCAGATGTGTATAAACAAAAGTTACTGTACCCTGGCAGTAGCTGTGTAACATGTAGAGCCCCATAATTGTATGCCATACATCCATATTCGTTTATAAGTTTGAATTTTCACCTAATCAAGTTTGAGGAATCGAGAAATGGGTCACTGCCGTGTGTGGTTGAAATACTTCGCAAATATGATCTGCAAAAAATGTTCCTTTTCTTGCTCAGAACAGGCCTACGCTATAGTTTTTTGTCTGATCGGTCTCTCAGCGGTTTTACTGGTGGCTTAAAGTTTTTCTCGCCTTCCATAGTGAGCTTCTTTGAGAAGAATTCGATGCCAAAATAGAAAAATAAACCTTTTACGAAAATGCACAATATGCTTAGTTTATTTTTTATTTTATTTCTCAATGATGCAGCTATTAGCTTATGATGATTAATTAAAACACGCGTATTATTGAAATTCAGATAATAATGCCGCTTGTGTCTAACTCTCATATTCCTAATATAAATTTCGGACAGCTTTATACTGTATACATTTATCGGTCAATAAGTGAGCAAACATTGACTAATTTTAAGATATAAACTCAATATGTTTTATATTACATTTTGCTTCGTGTCCAAGATATTTATATTTAAAAAAACATAAGAGTTCAAAGTCATCTGGAAAGCCGGAAGCCCCCTCTGATAACTGCATAAACTTTTTTCATTACTCAAGTATACTCGAGACATTGTTTTTATACAATTTTGTGAAGATAACTCTTACATTCACCGACATACATACAATTCTGTCATAAAAGGTTGGGCTAGGTTGGGCTGGGTTGGGTAGGAGCTGCACCATCTTGCTGAAACCATACAGAGTTGAAAGAAATTCTCATTCGACGTAATTCTGGATAGAAAAACTCTCTCAACATGCTCAAGTAACGGTCTCCAGTATTCGTAACGGTGTGACCGTTTTCTTCGAAGAATCTGTGGGTTGGCACTCCATATTCGACAATTTTGTTTGTTTATGTTGCCGTTTAAATCATGAAAAGACAGTTCAACATGTTTCCATCCTCTTCCACCATTTGAAGCATCTTCTGGCAAAATTCCAAGCGAATCGGCAAGTCTGCAGCGTTCAATTTGTTGCCCATTTGAATTTTTTGTGGGAATAAGTCCAAATCTTTGTGCATAATTGACTGTCTGCTTACACCCATTTGAGCAGATTTCTTGTCGAAATGGATTGTCGAGGTGGATTGTTTTGCATGGCAGCAGCTACAGCAGCGATTGTTTCCTCCGTTCGAACTGAAGGGTTTCGATGGTAAGGTCCTCTGTTGACTGTCCCATGCTCGGCAAAATTGGTTACAAGTCTCATTATGGTCCAACTGCTAGGACGATTGCCGCCAAACGTGCGCCTATACTCTCTTTGAACCGAAACTACGGACTCCAGTGTGTGATAGCGGCGGACAATCCAAATTCTTGTTTCAGTGTCCCAGTTATCCATTTTTGTTAAATGTAAAAGTCAATCTGCAAAATAAAAAACAAAATTAACCAGATTCATTAAATCGAAAAAATAGTTATTTAATTTTTGGTAGCGGCTTTCATTAGCCACCCTGTATGTATTACACATAGGGTCTACTAGAACAATGAACATCATCTTTGGTAGTATATTGGGGAAGAGGTAATTCGTGAAATGATTCCAAACATTTTCAGCATTCAACTCAAGTTTATCCAATATTATGCGTTAACTTCATTTTGTCAAAATCTCTTACATATTGATCGCTCTACACAGTATAAAGCCAACCAAGAGTGTGAAGTTATTCTATAAGATATACGGAATATTCTGGTGTTACAGTTTTTCTTACCATCAAAAAATGCTCAATGAATTTTATTAATGAACCTCACCGATTGATAAGTCGATTCAGTCGATAAAGTCGACTGGAAGTTTCAGGTATTAGGTATATAAGGGTTAGAGCCGATCTTATCAATTTTTGTTAAGAGTACTTTACTGTCAGAGAAACATTACCCCCAAAATTTTAATGACATACTTACTATGTTTCACAAATTAACCAATATTTTTGGTAAAAAGATAACCATAGGTATTGAAGTTCACTAAGATTCTTAAACATATTTGAGAAAATTTGTAACACGAAAAAATCACATAAAATGTAAAATATTGGCATATGGAAAAACTTGAGCAAACATGGGTTATTTAGCTTCCGTTTTTCAAAAATTCTTTCATTAATTGTGTTTTTTGGCGTATCATTGGTCTGAATCCTCGGACGGGCGGCCGATATGTATATGTATGAACAAAACCATTATACTTTGTAGCAACAAAAAAAAGTTTTACCCTACCTACCTCTTTCATAATATTAAATGTTTCCTATCATCAATTAATAACTTTGTAAATCAATTAATTGTTTCAAACTTTTATTTAAATTTATATCAAATGAAATTTAACATTAGATTTTATCTTGGTGTCACATCTCCAAAATCAGTTTAAAATTTACGCACTAGTTTATTTTTTTGAATGTTAATGCGTATCTGGGTCTGCTAGTATATTTGATATATTTTTTCACAGAGTGCGTATGTTGCCACGATACAACGATCGATCTCGGTCACCAGTTTTTGGCCGCGTGATTAGCAGAGAACCCATTATGCCTCCACGTGTAAGTATCGATCATCATCAGCGACATTACGGTGTTGATGGAAGTAACTTCGGTGGTTCGTCTTCCCGCATCTATGGAGCTGAAACGAAAGGAGTGCCCTCTTATCACGGTGCCGGTGGTAGCTCTCGTCGTCCGCTAAAATATCGTCACGTGGGTTCTAATAATGCTGCAACTAATGCGGGTAATGGTGGAAGCCCGAACTCTGTGAACGTTCAAGGAAGTTTCCAACGTTTGAAAGAATTGATTTGGACGGAGCGCGCCAAGGAACTGACACAACAGCGCAGGGCAGAAGAGCTAGCCGCACGTGCAGCCGTTCTTAAAGAGATCACCAATGGTCAAAAGCAAGTATACCATACAGTTACATACATTTCAAGTTATATTTAAAACATTAATAATTTATAGAAATTACCAAAAATACTAACTTTATCTTGCTTACGAACACACTCCCTTTATATATTGAAATAGAATTCTTCCATCCATGATCGCTTTGCTGATATATTCTTTTTGAACATATGTACCTGTATTCGTAAATGCTAAATTCGAAAACTTGCTCTATTATTTCAGAAAGTTCGACAAGTATTTCTTTTATATTACACAATTGGTGCGTTACGGGAGTAATTATTAAAATTTTGAAAAGTGGAAGAGGCCCCACCATGTAATAAGTTGCATGTAAATTTTTCCTAAACCGCACTTCTTTACTAGCATGGAAACCGCTTACGCGATTATAACCGAGTTAACAACAGCGCGCCAGTCGTTTCTTCTTCTTTTTGCAAGGAGGCGCCAATTGGAGATTCCAAGCGAAGCAAGGTCCTCTCCACCTGGTCTTTCCAACGGAGTGGAGGTCTTTCTCTTCCTCTGCTTTCTCTCGAAAACTCGCAACATTGACTCATCAGTTGTTGTCATTGTCTATGGCTCTGCACCATATAGGAGATCGGGAATAATGAGTGACTTGTAGAGTTTTGTTTTTGTTCGTCTAGAGAGGACTTTACTTCTCAATTGACTACTTAGTAAGAAGTAGCACCTGTTTACAAGAGATATTCTGCGCTGGATTTCGAGGCTGACGTTGTTGTTGATGCTGGTTCCTAAATAGACGAAATTATCTACGACTTCGAAGTCGAGTTCGACGACTGTTTTTTTTTATGAAAGGAGATATTACGTCTTGCCCTCGATCACTAGACTCATTTCCTTCGCTGCCTTACCCACTCTGGAGAAAGCAGATCTAACCGCGCTGCTGTTAAAGACAATGATGTCAATATCATCGGCATACGTCAATAGTTGTACACTCTTATATAAGATTGTACCTTTTCGGTTTAGTCCTGTAGCTCAAATTATTTTCTCCAGAAGAAGGTTGAAGAAGTCATACGAAAGAGAATCGCCTTGTCTGAAACCTCGTTTGGTACCGAACGGTTTGGAGAAGTACTTCCCGATCACGACGGAGCTTTTAGTGTGTTAGTTAACACATTCGTGTTAGTTTTACGGGGATACCAAATTCAGACATCGCGGTATAAAGGCTCCTTTCCATACTGTTAACGGCAGCTTGGACGAAAAAGTGGTCTGGGTCAATTCTCTTTTCATGCTTTTTTCCAAGATTTGGCGCATGCTGAATATCTGGAAAGTTGTTTATTTGCCAGGTCTAAAGCCACACTGATAAGGTCCAATCAGTTTGTTGATGGTGGGCTTTAATCTTTCACACAATACGCTCGATAGAAACTTATATACAATATTGAGGAGGCTTATCCCACGGTAGTTGGCGCAGATTGTGGGGTCTCTTTTTTTGAGGATTGGGCATAGCACACTTAAATTCCAATCGTTGGGCATGCTTTCGTCCGACCATATTTTACAAAGAAGCTGATGCATTCCCCTTATCAGTTCTTCGCCGCCTTGTTTGAATAGATCGGCCAGCAATCCATCAGCCCTCGCCGCTTTGTTGTTCTTCAGACGAGTGATATCTATTGGAACTTCTTCATGGTCGGGCAATGGAATGGAGTCGGATTCGCTCCTGGTGTTTAGCATTCACTGCCATTCAGCGGGCTACGGAAGGGTTCCCCCCATAATTTTAGTATGCTCTGAGCACCGGTTACTAGATCACCTCCTTAGGTTCTACAAGACTATGCTCCGGTATTGAAACCTTCGGTTAGCCGCCGTAGTTTTTTTGTAGAATTTCCAGCATTACACCTGTCGGCTAGCTTGTCAAGATCTTCATACTCACGCATTTCAGCCTCTCTCTTTTTTTCTCATCAAATGTGTCTTGCTCCCTTCTTCAGCTCTTGGTATCTATTCCATCCCGCACGTGTGGTGATCGATCGTAACGTTTCGAGGTAGGCAATCTATTTTCTTTCCGGTACGTCACGGCACTCTTCGTTGTACTAGCTGTTCTTTTGCATTTTCCGAGAGCCAATGATTTAAGTTGCAGCTGTACGTAAGGAGTTTGAAATGCCGTCCCACAGCTCTCTTATACCGAGTTGTTGACGAGTGCTCTCAGAGAACAAGGGTGCGAGTCGAACAGAAAATCGTTCGGCTATCTGTTGTGATTGCAGCTTCTCGACGTCGAACCTTCCTTGAGTTTTTTGACGGGTGTTTTTTGCTTGACAGGGGCGGGTGCAAATTTTGGCTGCAGCAAGATATTGGTCCGAGGCGATGTTAAGACCTCGGAGCGCACGCACATCTAAAACACTGGAGACGTGTTTTCCGTCTATCATAACATGATGGATCTGGCTGGTAGCTTTTGATCCGGAAACAGCCAAGTAGCTTGATGTATTTTCTTGTGCTGGAATCTAGAACTAAAGATAACATATTTCGGGCCCCTACGAAGTCGATCAGCCCATTTGGGGATGTTTCCTCGTGTGGGGTGAATTTACCGGCTGTTGTGCCAAAGATACTTTCTGTGTCCACCCTGGCGTAAATGTCGACAAGCACGATTTTGACATCGTGGCGGGGCCAGCTCTCATAAGTGCACTCCAAGCGCTCATAGAAAGCATCTTTGATCACATCGTCCTTCTCGTCCGTCGGGGCGTGGAAGAACTTCGCTTTGATGGGGATTGTGGCTATACGTTCATCCACCGGAGTGAATGATAGTACTAGATGACGGAGTCTCCCACCACGAAAGCCACACCGAATATGGGCTCATTTATATAGTCACTGTAGTAAATACCACAAGGACCTACTCATCTCAGTGTCCCGTCCATCGTATTTCTTGGACGGCGGTGATGTCAGCCTTCACTCTAACGAGAACATCACTGGGCAGAGGCACCTTCCTAATTAAGGAACCGGATATTCCAGGTTCATTCCCTCAAATCGTAGTGGTCAAAAAAGAGGTCTGTCATCCGAGACTGGTTGTTATTTTTCATTGGGGGTGTTTGTTACGTGGCGGGTCCCAAACCCAGCGCCTGACATAACGTATGGCACAGCCACCGTTGCGCAGTGCGCTCGTAAGCTCCCGACATCTGTGCCACAAGAAGAGCATAAGCGCATTGCGCAACGATCGTTCTTTTTACCAGTGGTTGGGGCATACAAAATTCAATATCTTTGAAATGGTATGAATGAACAATTTTTTGCAGATTATTAAAGGTGAATATTTTCCACGTGTGTCACATACTTTTCAATTTCATTTTTTAGCGTGAAGAACACATGAAAAATTTCAATTGTTGAACAAAAAATTATGTAAAATATTATTATTTTAACAAGTGGATCGTGAAAAAATATATATAATGTAGCACGAACATTTTGCTTTGACTTCACAAAATATCACCGATTAATTTCCAGTAATTTATGAGAAAATAATCTTACAACTTTATCGTTATCTAATTTTCAACCTTCAATAATTTTAACAAAAAAAAAAAAATTGAAGAAATATGATTTCTTTAGTAGTAAAATTAATTTGATAAATGGTTTGGATTTTTCCTAAGATGCTGTCTTCAGTTTTTATAAAATTTGTCACGGAAGGATTCCGACATCTTTGAAAGTATAGTGAGACTTTCTTCTGTAAAATCTAGGTTGCTCCTAAGGAAATGAAAATTTGGTTCTTAAATGCATTAATGTATGCGTCAGTGTAAGGCAATAATGATAAGGTAGTAATAAGTAATTGTGCGGTACTTTCGTCGCTATTTTGTTGCTGTCGTGGAGTTTATTTGTTGATTTCGGCATCTGCTATCACGTTGTGTTTAATTCCATAATAATATTATTCTAATGTTGATTTGCATCGTGTCAATCTATTAATACTTTTTCTATTGCTGCGTATTGAAGGTTGGTGGTTTGAGATGATTTTTACACTGTTTGAACAACAGAAAAAATTTTTCCATAAGATGGCTAAGAATTCTTTTTCAATTTTTGCGTAGTTTTGTTCTATCTTTGTCAATGTCCTTGAAAAAAATGAAAAGACAATTCGTGTGGTACCCAAAAATAGAGCTTCTTTTTGTAGCCAGCCTTTTTTAAATGATTCAAAGTTGTTTGATGATGAATTTTAAGTTCCTTAATCTTTTCCATAATTTCATCGATATTTTCAACGATAGGTCGACGAGAGCGAGGTGCATCTCGAGGTGCTCAGGTGGCAGTCTTCCCTTTTTATACAAAAATTTCAAAATCCAATGAAATTCTTTATTATTTGTACTCATTTATGAATATCTGTAACTCTTTTTCAACTTCACCGAATTTAAAAGTTTTTTGGTTAAATGAAGCTTAAAATTTCACCTTTTCAACACTACTTAGTATTACGCAATGTGATATACGACTGCAACGACATCTATTGATAAAATACGAGACTTTTTCGACCACCAATAATATTCCCATGATTGTTCTACTACACAAGTATATTGCGGGTTTTGGTACTGCATACTTCTAAATACTGCTAGTTGACCTGAATTTTGTGTTCGATGCATTTTGTGGTGCCTTGTAAGCAAAATCGGTATAAAAAAGTTGTTTTTGGATATTGTTGTTTGCTTGATGGAAGTGGTGGTGATAGTGGTTATCGAGATATTCATTCACAATTGGAGTACTTGAGGTAGGCTATTCATAGGGTCCCGTTATTGTGAGGTCGCAGAGTTGCATTGTGTTATAAAGTCGTAGGGTTCCTTTAAACGACAATTTTTTGGTTTAAATTTATTTTTGACTTTACTGTTTCTGGAGATTCCTTTGAGATGAATCGCAGAGTTGTTTTGCGTTATAAAGATGAAGAGTTCTCATTTAAGGTGATGATTTGAAAATTTTTAGGTTTATTTTATTAATGGCTGTACAAGCCTTTACGTTATTTTGTAATTTGCTAAAAAAAAAATCTGTTCTAATAATTTAAATATTTTATATTTGTAATATCTTAAGTTGCCACTCTGAGAAGTCTCCTGACTTCTTT